CCTGCCCTTTGACAGACCATCTCTGTCCCATGGGCAAAGGACCACCACTGCAAAAGCACAACACACAGTAGACACGGAGAGGGAAATAATCAATGATTGATATCAAATTGCGAGGATATGTTTCCACAAAAATCTTATAAACATTATAAAAGCATGGCATTGTTACCTACAGGCATTAAAAGCACGTATTTAACTATAATAATTTAAAAAAGGATCACTTGTGTGCTTCTGTATTCATGTGAGTGACGACATCAGGCTTGTTTGGCTGTTTCCCGGAGGTCAGATATCGGCTGTTAGTCATTTCGCTGTGCCGCCAGCCAGCTGATTAAAGCCTCCTCAGTGAGACAGCATGACCTCAAGGCAAGTGTATCTTTCTGTTTTTTATTATGCCTTAAATGGATCCTTGCTGTTAGACACAAGGCAACCTCAGCTGTCCTCGCCGTCATGGTTCTGTCACTCAGTTACCAGCTGTGTGCTGTTGCACTCTCCAAAATTTTATTAAAGACAAGAAAAGAATGATCAGGCGCGCTATATTCCCTAAGTGTCCTGAGGTCCAGCTGGTATATTCTCAGGGTCTACATCAATACATTCAGGGGTTTCTCTGCCCAGACCTTTGCATCTGAGAGAAAAGAAACAATTGTGTTTTTCTTGAAAAAAATAAATAAACTGACGTTGGACTACGCACTATGCGCAGATAAACTGCAGCACATCAAAACAAATGAGTGTGCATAAGCAAAATTAAATTCACAACTTTTACTACAGATGTTTTTAATACATTCACAATTGGTTTCTGCATTAGCAGAATAGCTTGAGGAGAGAAAGATTTCGAACAGAAAAATGTGTCCCTCTAGTGGTCAAAAGGTTCTCTGCGATCAATTACTGCGACTGATGTAGTTCAGCCTTCGCCCAATAGAGTCTTTAAGCATTGACGTTAAGGTGTTAAAGAGTATCCACGGTGCTGCCAGCAGGGTTGGGGCCATTCCGGAAAGCATTGATCAATTCCAGTCCAAATCAGGAAATGGAACTGGAGTTGGAACTTCAAATTCAACTCCAATTCTGTTCCCCGTAGTTTTTTTTCTAATCCCAACTCCAGTTCCATTTCCTGATTTGGACTGGAATTGATCAATGCATTCCGGAATGGCCCCAACCCTGGCTGCCAGTATACTTTCCTGGTTGAAGTGATGCTGAAGACCTCAACAACTGGCTTCAAAGTGACTCAGCAGCAATTGCCATCAACCAACAAGTATTTTTTGCTGTCATAATCCTCAGCTATCTGCCAGCTAATTTGCCAGAGGTTGTGAATATCAGTGTTTCTGTTAAAGTGGAAACTCCTGACACCAAACATTCAGCAGCACCTAAGCAAACATCCTCCCACTTCAGTCGTCTTTGACTTCGACCTTTCATCTCCACTGCTTGTTGATCTAGCAAACTCATTCCACCATGAGCGCTTCTTTTCTCCAATTATCCAAAAAGAGAGCTTGACATCCCTACATTTATCACCTTCCAGTTCAACAGCACCCTGCCCATAAACTGCATTCCTTCTGATTCTGCCACAAACCACTTAAGAAAGGCCTCTCTACTCATCCCACCAGACCAACTATCATCCTGTTTCTCTCCACACTTTTCCACCTAAAACGTCACAATGTGCAGTATACAGCCAGTTCTCTCTTCAGAGTTAACCAGTCTGCTATTAGGGTGCAGGTCCACAGGGATATTTTAACCTTGTAGACCACTCTAAAGGGTAATGTCTGCTATAGGCGTTCATTGTCAGAGAAGTGCTTTGTTCCACAAAAACCCTCATCAGCCATTAAACTAAAATGTGTCTGGTCTTTTTTTCTGTCACCTTTTTTTTTTACCAGACCGTACCAACACAGAAGGATATGGTAGAGAAATACAGACATAACACATAGGTGCCAAAATTCAAGATGGCCGCTTATCCCTGAAATGATAAAAGCACCAGCCTCAGTTCAGCTCTGCCTCACTGTCCACAATGTCTTTCAACAGAGGATCTACAGTGCGACCTTACCCTTTCCTTGATGTCTCATTCATTAGCAAGGGGTGTAGGGTTCTCCCTGTAACCCCCACCCTCAACCCGGCAAACTTCATCTGCCTCAGGGGTGTCACACAGCCTCTGCAAAGTCACAACACAAAGCAGATGAAAGATGGAAAAACTAATGACTGGTTTCCAAGTCTCCAAAGAGCACACAGAAGGAACGTTTTGTAGTAAAACAAGTAAACATTATCGGGACATGAGATGTTGTTACCTGTAAGCATCAAAAACCTCAAATCTAACTGTCCGTGGAAACCATCCCTGCCTAAAGCCACTTCCTGTAAACATATTTAACTCTTTACCATAAGACACTCATGTTCTTGGAGGGGGGGGGGGAAGGGTTCAAAGGAATCATTTCCAGGAAATGAGGCTACCACACCTCTGTACATCAAGGCAAATGGGGGGGGGGTTGTCTTCCTCATCACTCAGCATCAGAAGAATTGGGCTCCTACACAATCCAGCCTGCAGGTTCTTCAACACGTACGTGTGTGTGTGTATGCAGGTCTGGATTAAAAAAAATAAAATCAAAACAAAGCAAATTAATAAAAGTGTCGAAGCATGCACACCGGCAGAAGTGAAGTAACCTGAATTCTCTGAATTACTCTGCCCACTACTATCTCCAGCACGGGCCACAGACTATTTTGAATGTGGTGCTAGATGCTGGTGCCAGATGCAAAAGCTGCAGCATCTCAGAGACGGACACTGCCTGGTGTGTCTAGAATTTACAGAGAATGATGTGGTGAACAAATAGAAATCCATGTGTGTGCAAAAACACCTTGTTAATGAGAAGGTTCTGAGGAGAATGGCAGACTCATTAAAGCAAAGAGGGAAGCCCCAGGTACAGAATAACAGCTCAGTGTAACAGTGGTGTGCAGAAAGGCTTCTCGGAATGCATAGCTCACTTACCCATAAAGTGGAACTGGAGGCAAAAGTGGGAACTACCCGGTACTAGCTAGGTATAGCTAATAGAATGCGCACTATCCAGTACTAGCTAGGTGTAGCTAATAAAGTGGGTCTTACCCGGTACTACCAAGGTATAGCTAATAAAGTGGGTCCTACCAGGTATTAGCTAGGTATAGCTAATAAA